AGCCCCAGTGACAACTGGACAGAAAAGTCTCTGAGCCCACAACCCCCTCCCCACTCCTTGGGAGCCTGGTGGGGGCTGAATGCTGGGCCTCCTCCCCCCAGGCCTCCGCCAGTGCTGAGGGGGAGAGGCAGCGCCCAGGTCCTAGGCCACTATGTTCCTAGAGCCTCCTCTGATCTTCATTCCTCTTCTCTGAGTACCCTGCTTTCAGGAAGGAGGGAGTGGCTTGAAGAGGCTAGGGGAGGCCATCCAGTATGTCTTCCCATTTTACAGATAGGGATGCTAAGGCTTCGAATGGGGTCTGGGTGGAGGGACACAGCCAGGCACTGCCTCCCTGATCACAAGGTGCTGCTCCCTTCAATACTGAGCCGCCGAGGTGGGATGGACCACATGGTCTACCCAGAGATTAGTACCTGTGGTGCAGAGGACCCCAGAGTGCCAGTTGCTATTCCTGGAGCTTCCTCCCCAAGGCCATATGGTTCCATCTGCTCCACTGCCTGTGTAGACAGACGCTAGGAGCAGGCCTTAGTGCCCCCTCTCCAACAGCCTGGAGGAGCACCGGGTTAGAAGCCAGGTTGTCTCCTCATAGGGGCAAAAGAGGCGGCCTTCAGCTCCCTTTCTAGGCTGCAGGCACCTTCCACTGAGGAGGGTGTCCCCATTGGGGCTAGGCAGGGACCAGATGACCCCCCCCCTTTGCAAAGCAAGCTGACCACTGCCCTGCTCTCTTCTTGTGAGCCTGGGGTACAGTGGCACTGGCCAGGACAGAGTCCATGAGTCTGACTCCAATTCTCAACCCTCTTGAGCTGGATAGGCAGGTCCTCTCTCCTCCCAAGAAGAAAGCCCAAGTACCAGGGCTTGGCAGGGGACACTCGGGTAGCATCCGCATGGCTTTTGCTTCTAAGACCTCTTTGGTTGAGGGGGGAAGACCGTCAGCCATTCCTAAGTTGGGTGTCCCTTTCTTGTGCGAGGGCAGGAGGTGGCAGTGACTGGGCTCAGCTTCGGTGATCCTTTGCTTCAGTGATGGAAATGAGGCAGGGACCTGCTGCTTCTTTGGGAAGAGAGATCAGGCTTGGCTGGACGGGGGAGTGTGTGGTCAGAGCTGCATTTTAAGGAAACAGCTGCGGCTCATGACTCGCTTTCCGAGCTGAGAGATTTACAGGGCTGCACCGTTTTAACGGTTTCTGTGGGGTTTGTGTCCTCCCCCGCTCATCCTGGCCACTGTTTTGGGGCAGATGGGTGACAAGCTTTCCCAAAGCTGGACCCGCCCAACAGGCTGCGCCAGGGAGCAAGGGTCGACCACCCAAGCCTCCTGGTGAGGGGCGGCTACTAGGAGGCCCCTGGGGACCCACCTGGACAGCCAATAAATCTAGGAGACCTCCAAGCGGCAGGAAGCCTCCTTGCAGAGGCCTTGTCAGGGGAAACTCTTCCCCAGGGTCCTTCCAGCAGGTGGCTGAGCCTTTTTCCTCTAAGGATCGGTTCCAGCAGGCGGTGGCTGAGCAGTATCTTTCTCAGATGGACAGCGTTTCCTAGGCCCAGGTCGGGTGCTTTGATCTTAGCCAGAGTTCCCCTAAACCTCAGGAGTGTGGGTCAGTTCCAGGGTTGGTAGGCCTAGAGCTGGGAAAGGAGGAAAGCGGGTTTTTGAGCAAGCTAGGGCAGAGGACGGGGCTGCCATGGGCGCAGCAGCAAGACCCCTCTGACGGAGGGGTTCAAGTACAGGATATGACCTGGAGCTCCCAGCTTGGGAAGCTGCCTTTGATGTCCTGGAATTTCCCTAGGACATCCAGGGAGGTTGAGGCACCCTCTGCTCCTGTAGGAGGACATGTCCGTTCCTCGCACTGCAGCCAGGGGTGGGGCAGGCAGCAGGATAAATTCTGCCCTCTTTGATCAAGAAGTGGCTCAAGGCACCTCATCTGCCCTGGGCCTATTTCCTAGCGGGCCCTGGAGCCACAGCAGGGTTCTCAGTTCTGAGGCTGGGAGGTCCCAGAGCAAGGTGCCAGCAGTCTCGTTATCTGGTGAGGCTTGCTCTCTGCTTCAAAGATGTCACCTCATTGTCCTCATGTGATAGGAGGGGCAGGGAGATCACTTGATCCTCTTTTATAAGGGTATTAATCCTGTTCATGAGGGTGGAGCCTTAGAAGTTAGTCACTTCCCAGTGACCCCCACCTTTTAATACTCTCAAGTTGGGTATTAGGTTCCAACATAGGAATTTGGGAGGCACTCGGACATGAAGACCAGAGGAGGGTGTAAGAGGCCTGTCCTTGGGGGCTATGGGCCTGGGATGGGCAGAGCTGCCTAAAGCTCACTGTGCCCAGTCCCCTGGATGGGTGATATCATAGGCATGACTAGGAGGGAACCCCAGGCTCATGTAGCTCAGTGACCGTGGTCATTCCCTGCTCTGAGCCAGCAGCTGGCTGGGGTGGCGGCATGCTGTGTGGCTGCAGGAGCGCGCGTGGAGCAGGTCTGTTTGAGGGCACTGTGTATTTTGAATAGTTTCAGCTGTGGCGCACGGTGGGGACTTGGCCCCGTGCACTGCATGTGCAGCTCATACTTGGTGGGCTGTGTAATGTGCAGAGGTGTTGCCAAGGGCAGCAGAAATGTGGATTTTTTCCAGCAAAATCACATGAATCCTACCACCACCCGCCCCCGGGCTGTCTCACCCTACAGTCGGGGCAGCTCCCACCCAGGGAGTAGCAGGGATCTGCTAGGTGTAGGAGGCAGCCAGAGGCTTTGTCCCAACTGACCAGCATCCATTGCTTTGTCTGGGTTCTTGAGGATAGTGAGGTGCCCTCCGTGTTAAACGTGTCCCTGCAGGCTAAGGCTGGGGAGAGGAGAGGTTGTCAGCCCTTCTGCTAGGAAGGGCCACATGCTTGCAGGTCTTCCAGGGACTAAGAAGGCCACCCTGGGGTACCAGTCCAAGGCTAGACCTTGTCCAGGGGGCTCATCCTCAGCAAAGTTGAGAGACCCTAGCAGCCTGCCCGGGGCTGAGGCCCAAGACCCAGAGTCCTCAATTCATTGTATTGGTTTCCCAGATTGTCAGAGCACGGTGTCACAACTGACTGAGTGGCTTAAACAACAAAGAGTTATTTTCTCAAGATTCTGGAGGCCATGGATCTGAAATCAAGGCGCCGGCAGAGCCGTTTTCTCCTGAGGTCTTGCTCCTTGCTTTGTAGATGGCCGCCTTCGCCTTGTATCCTCATGGGGTTGTGTCTGGGCCCTGATCCCTACAAGAATACCAGTCCGATTGGATTAGGGCCCGACCTCATCTTAATTAGCTTTGTAAGGACCTTGTCTCTAAAATAAGGAGTCAGGGCTTCAATATAGGAACTGGTGGCGTGTATAATCCCTCCCCTATCACCGGTGGATGACTGCGGCCTGGGATCAGAGCTGCCTCTATAGCATCCTGGTTGAGCTGGCCCAGCCCATGCCTGGTGGGAGGACACTGGGGCTGGGCCAGAGGTCTGAGGTACCACGCAGGGAAACAGCCCTATCCCTAGGGAGGCTCATTCTGTATTCAGCTCAGTCCTGGAGAGAGGAAACCGAGGCTCTTGGGGACGTCGGAGGTGGCTCCCCCATTGCTTAGCTGAGGGGCACTCAGTTGCCACGGTGACCTTCGTCTGCACAGTCAAATCCACATAGCCCAGCCACTTCTCTGGGCTGGAGGGCTCCCCCCACCCCCAGAGTTCACACTGAGTGTTGAGAACCTTGGTGACAAAAACATGGAAACGGTTGCCATGGCAGCTATTCTTTGGAGCCCTCAGACTGGAGTGCAAAGTTCAGGATGCCCAGGAACAACTGAAACGAAAATATGGGAAAACCCGCCACTTCCCTTCTTCCAGGAGGATCAAGCTGGACAGCATTTGGTGCTTTCCTGCGCTCAGCCGTCCTCGCCCCTCCCCATTACACTGGGCCCAGTGTGGGCACAGGAGAGGAGTTGGGAGGTCCCCTGGGGGTGACGGTGTCTAAGTGGTCTCTTGAGAGGTGGCGGGCAGACCTTTGGGTGGGTGCCCTGCTTGCAGCTGTTACATGGGAAGGCGATGACTACGGGGGGGGGGACATGCCTTCATGGTAGCTGAAGTCAGAGGTTGCCTGGGTGTTACTTTCTTCAAATTGTTGCCCTGGCCCAGGAGACAAACTTCCCTGCTCAGTGGGATGAAGAAGAGTACAGAGCGCAGCGGGTGGGCTCAGCAAGGGAAAGCGGGGATGAGGAAGGTGGCCAAGCAAGTTGCCCCTGGAGGGAGGTGAGTACCGCTGAGAGCTGCTCCCCATATCAGGGTGGTTAGGAAACCATCCCACCCATGTTTGGTAGAAAGGAAACCCAGGACTTGCTTTAACCTGGTGCTTCACAAAGCTGCTTACTCCCACCTCCCCATTCTTTAAAAGCACTTCCTCCTATTTTTAAATTAGCCCTTACTGTCCTGCAGGAGTAACAGCTGTAAGCCCACACTAGGGCACTGATCCTTCATGTCTAGGGGGATCAGTGCCCTCTGGGGTGGCATTAACACTGTTTTTGGAAGCCATTGAGGGAATTCTGATGCACACCCCCACTTAACTCCTGAATCAGGTAACTGGAAGGAAGAGGAATGGCAGAACAGTACCAGGACTCAGGATTCTAGAAAAGGCATAATCCAAAACCAGGTTATCCTCTTTGATACCTAGGTATTGGTGCCCCATGATGTTCTGCTTAGTCTAGATAGAAATCAAAGCTATGTGTCCCAGGGTGTCATTGCAAAGCAATGGCCAAGAGGGGACCTGTCCCCAGAGGCAGTTGGAGGGTACCTTCAAAACAGGAGGTAAAGCTTGGAGCAATGGCCTTGGCCAGGATCCATTTTGCTTTTCCCTGCCCCTTGTCTCTTGGAGTATTCTCTACAATCACTTCCCAGCTCCGGGTCTCCCTTTTCTCCAGGCTCTTGGAGAGGGAGGAGCAGGTAGGACGCCCCAGAAGCTGGGACCCCTGGCTGCACTTCGTGCTCCTAGCCCACTGGCCTGCCTATGCTTTCTTGCAGCTGTCCAGATCCACATTCTGAAGGCAGACAAGGCAGGGGACTGGTGGAAGTTCACGGTGAACATCATCTCCGTGTACAAGCAAGGCACCAGCCGCATCCGCCGTGGTGACCAGAGCCTGTGGATCCGCTCGCGTGACATTGCCTGCAAGTGCCCTAAAATCAAGCCCCTCAAGAAGTACCTACTGCTGGGCAACGCCGAGGACTCGCCGGACCAGAGTGGCATCGTTGCTGACAAGAGTAGCCTGGTGATCCAGTGGCGGGACACGTGGGCGCGGCGGCTGCGCAAGTTCCAGCAGCGTGAAAAGAAGGGCAAGTGCAAGAAGGCCTAACGCACACGCAGCAGCGCGCTGGGCTCCGGACCGCGGGCCCGGCTGAGCGTGAGCGGAGCACATGCAGCTGACGGCTGCCATGGTGGACTTGGCCCATGAGGGCTTTCCTGGGAGGGTGGAGGGTGGGGGCGGGGCTACAGCGGGGGCGGGGCCCTCAGTGGCCCCTCCCCCAGCCCCACTCTGTGCACCCCTAGCGGGAGCCAAGTGCATGCACACTCAGGGCAGGGTGCGCAGCAGGCCAGGCCCTGGAGAAATGAGGACCAGACGTAGCTACCTCACGGGGCTCCTTCCAGAGCAGAAATGCGCTTCCCTAGGGCTAGGTGGGGTCACCGTGGAGGGGCTGGGAGCTAACCCTGCCGTGGGGCCTGAGGGACGGCACTGAATGGCACCAGTGGGGCCGCAGAGCTTGGCGTTGTTGGTAATGCAGAAGGGGGTGTGAGGAGAACTGTGAAATTGCAGGGCAGGGGCTGTGAGCAAGCCCAACCCAACCACCAAAAGATAAAAACCTCCTCCTTCCTCTCCTAGCTATGACATCCTGGGCCCCATCTGAAAGGCAGGGGTGGCACTGGGGGATGGGAGCAGCCTGTCCAGCCAGTATTCTTCATGGGGCCTCTGGTCTGCACGGCCACCTGCTGGGTTGGTCCTGGGCGGGGTGGGGGGAGAGAAGGCCCCTGTGGGTGCCTGCCTGGAGTGGCCCAGGGTTCTGGCCCATCCTGAGGGCAATGGGCCCAAGGACACCCTTGAGAAGCCCAAGCCGGGTGGTCACTGCCTCATGCTGGAGCTGCCTGGGGGAGGAGGCAGTACGAAGGCAAAACCTCCCAGAGAGTTTCCTTTTTGGAAACTTGGAACCAGCCCCTTTTATGACATTTTCCAGGGGAGGGGGAAGGAGCACTGGCTGAGTTTACAGCAATGACACTATTTGTGTAATGACATCAGCTCCCACAAGGCCCCTCAGCAGTGTCAACAGCTGGAGAGGGCCTGGACGGGCATGCCGGCTGCAAGGCAGTTGGGCTGGGCTTGCTTGAGTCAGAACATGGTTCACTGGCTCATCCAAAGTGCCCCGGTCCTAGGCGCCAGGAATGGCCACGTTCCTGGGCACCCATGACCACTGCCTGCTCTGCCCTTGCTGGTGGCTCCTAAGGCAGGAGAAGTGGCTACCCCAGATGGCTCTGGGGCTGCCCTCACGGCTGTCTTCCTCTAACCGGGGCAGCACTTCACCCACTTTTTTCTAGCCGTCCTCATTTTGAAGACCCCCTGTGCCTTCCAGTGGGCCCAGCCCTCCTTCCCAAAGCCTCCTAGAGACTGTCCTCAAGCAGGCAGCCCCAGACTTTTTGGCCTGGCTGCTTCGCAGGACCTGTTCCTGTGCTCTGGTGCCTCTCGGCTCCTGCCTTCCTGAGCTCTCTGCACTGCCCTCATCTTCACACTGGGCAGCTGACTGAGTGGCCTGGCTCCCCTCTCAGTCAGGAAATTGGTTTTATTTTCCCTGCCAGAGGTTGGCTGCTTACAGGGCCATACTAAGGATGAAGCTCGCTTCCCTTTCCTTCCTCTACTTCTGCCCGCGTCACCACTGCCATTTACTGAGCACCTGCTGCGTGCCAGGCACTTTACCTTCATGTCCCCAGCCTGTCCTCATGACAACCCTCTGGAACAGGGTCTCTTGCCCCCATTTTCACCAACAGGGAAACTAGCATGTGTGTGGCAGCACTGAGACTCAGATCCCAGAACCAGGCTTTCGGGCTGTGCTACCCCTGGAACTTACCCAACAATCCCCGAAGCAGGCTGTGAGGGGTGCCCAAGGCCGAGTTGCCACAGCGACCCTAGAAGCTGCCTCTTGAGGACCTTGAATCTAGGCTGCAGAGTAAGCACTGGGGGGGGGGGTAGTACACTGACGTCTTCAGGAGTGGTGGGTGCAGCAGGAACCAAGGAGAGCCTACGGAAGTCTTTAGCGCTCCTGAGGTTCTAGAAAGGTGATTTTCCTGCTTCAAGTGCAGGATTCCAGGAGCAACTGGCAGAGGCACCTCAAGGTCAGTGAGAAGACAGACCTGCCCTGGGAAAGGGTGTTTGACTTCCCTGAATCTTAACTCGGCGGTTGAGGGTCAAGGACTGGATCTCTCCAGGCACTAAGGTCCAGTCTGGGCGGCTGATGAGGGCAGTTGTTTATGCTCCACCGCATCCTACCCTGGGTCTGAATCTTGCCCCGTGTCCAGTGAGGGCCTTGCACTGGTGGTCCTAGGCCTCCTCAGCAACGGAACCAGGGGCCTACCAAATAACAAGGCAGCTTGCTGAAAATCCAACCACTGTCACCCTCCAGCTCAGCCACCCCCCACCCCAGGGCCTAGGCCATCCACGCAGTGGCCTAGCCCTTGGAGACGATGTCAGGGTAGCCAGATCAGGAACAAGGACACTGTTGGGATTGCATCATTTTTCACAGGTTGCCCCCCCTCCCATTTTCCTTATGGACTCGGCCAGAACTCAGTCCATTCCTACTCTACTCTGACCTCCACAGAGGAGACCCAGCTTCAGGCCAGCATCCCTTTTCCACCTCTGTCCCCATCCCAGGGAAGAGAGGGAAATAGGAATCGAGGTGTTCCAGTTTGTATAGTTAGGAAGGGATGTAAAACGGACCTAGATTTGAAGAGTGTATTAACCAGAATTGTGATACGTAGGTGTTGGAAGAAAAACACCAGATTAGTCCTTATTTTGTTCTTAAAACAGCTTCCCCCGTTGTCCTTTTTCTTACCAGGTGGGTGGTCTGGTACGCAAGAGCTGCCTATTTTACTCACACTGTGGAAGGCCGAAGGCAATGGCGCTGTCCCTCCCTGTGGCCTCTATCCACAGCTTCTGTTCTTGGAAAGCAGACCAAGAGGCAACAACCTTAGGTTTCTTTGAGGAGGAGGGATAGACAGCTGGAGTGAAAGCCCAGGGCCTGTGCCTCAGTGATAGCATGCAGGCCACGGGTACAGACTTTCTTGGAATTGCCCAGGTTCAATGAGACTGAAGTCGAGAAGAGACACTTAGGGACTAGGAAATGGTTCTTTTAGGGTCCCAACACTTAAAGGATCCCCCCCTCCCCACAAACTCCCAGAGCCAAGAGCATGGACAGACTCATGGATGGGCCACTGGATCACAGTTTGTGGACACTCCCGTGGGCCATAGCCATGCCATACCCTAGGGGTATCAAAATTGACCTTGCCCCAAATAAGCCAGCCCTACTCCTTGTGTCATTGGAAATCCTTCCCTGCTCCCAAATGCACTTCCCTCAACTCCCTCCTGTGTTGGAGATTTCTGTTCACTCAGAATTGTAAATGTTTAGTTGTGACCATGACATATTGTTTGGGTCAGTGTTCCTTTCCAATGCATACTAATATATTATGGTTATTATATATGAATATATTTAATGACATGGAAAGAGTTGTGGATTTTTTTAAAGCTTTTTTTTTTTTTTGATTGTTAGAGCTTAATGGACCCAGATGGAACTTGTAACGTGGGCCCCACATGATAGAACTAAATTCAGATATCATTAAATAAACTCTTGTATACTGTTCTGTCTCCCAGTCTTTCTTGGTGGCCTGAGTTATGGGTGGTGGGCATGTAGGGAGGTAGGAGGGGATGGAATCTTCTGACAACTTAAGGAATATGGCCCTTTTGCCCCAGAACTCCCCAGCAAGACAGCCCAGGAGCTTGCTTTTATTTAAAAAAAAAAAAGACAGTTTGTTTAGAAAGTTCTGGGGGCTTGCTGGCTCTGAATGCAGAACTAAAAAGCCTCTCATACGCAATTGTCTGCTTATGTCCCCAAGTTACCACCCCTGGGACAGATCCTTGCTGCTTCCTGGATGGGGAGGAACCCAGGGGATGGAGGAAAGGGGGTTCCCTCTAATGTACCCATATGGCAACAGTGGGGTGAGATGCCACCTTTGACCTTACCTGTTTGATTCAGAACCTGCAAATCTTCTGCCTTTCACGTATCCAGTTTCTTCTATTCAAAGCCAAGTAGAGACTCTAAGGGAACTAGGACTGGTGAAACTCAAGAAACCTTGCAACAGACTCCAGCCATTGCTGAAGGCTTCATGCAGAGCAGAGACTGGGAAGACGCCAGCACCATGCAGCCACCAGGAGCTGAGCTCACTGGGTTTTTGGAGAGGCTATATTTAAACTTCCACATGGTTGTGATCTCGTTATTAAATAAACAATCCAGCCATTAGGAGCATGTTGTGTTGCCACGCGAAGTGGAGCCCATCGGCACCAGGAAGCTGTAATTTCTGCACCCGGCTGTTTGGATGACAAGGCTCAGCCACCGACCTGATCTGGCCCCTCAGCAACAGGGATTCTAGTGGTCCCTCCTTCAAAGGTACAGGAAGCTGTCCTTTGCTGTGAGGCCAGCTGGCTGGAGATGCCATCATCCGCTGCTTCTCAAAACAGACACAGGCAGGCTCCAAGGACCTGGAGCTGTGCTCTAAGCCAGGGCCGGTGGGCACATGCACTCAAGGTGTCCCACTCGATCTTAGGAGTGAGTCCCTGTTGAAGACAATGCTTGACAGTGGGGTGGGGGTAGGGGGGGGACAAGAGGCAGACTTCAAGTGGCTGGACTGGTCAAGGAAAAAGTAAGACCTTTTTGTCATCTCCTATGCCTCTGTGGGCCAGCTTGACCATTTGCAAGATTTAAGACTCCCCTGAGGCTAAGAGGTCTGTGATGCCCTTGGCACTTTGAGACTCAGGTTTGGTCATTTTAGGTCAAGTGTCCAGTTCTTAAGAACTTTCATGATGTGGCTTTTTTCTGTCCATAAAGTTGTCTGTGCCTCAGTGTGCTGTGTCTCTTTGGGGATTCCATCACAGCCAGGAGCTGGGCTGCCAGCTGCGGCCCCAGGCCCAAGCCTGCAGGAAGCACACTGTTGATCAGAGACACATTTGAATGGGCACCGTGGTCAGCCCTGCTGCCTCTCAGGGCCTTCAGCCCTGGCTGGGGAGACAAGGTAACATCTGTACAACTCACCCAATACAGGAAATGTGCTGGGTTGCTGTGAAGCACTGGCCCAAGACAATAGGAAAGGCCCATTTTAGAGACTGGAATGTTGAAGTAAAAGGACACTGAGAGGTCCTCACCAGCGAATAGGGCCAGGCCAAAGCCCAGAGGGCTGCCAGGAGCAGATCTGCCTGGCTGCCCAAGCAGCAGTTGGGGAGGTTCACCGTTCATGAGGCCTCACTCCCCTCATCCCTGTGTCTCCCAGGGACAGTGTCTGGCACGGGGATGCCCACTCGTGGCAAGACTCACCCCTCAGTCTCCGATTTCGTTAACAGACATCTCTTTCCGTTCTCTTTTTAAGACTAAATAAAGACATATAAGAAATGCGCCAAGAAAAACGGGGAGTGAAAAGGGAGAAAGAGCCAGTGAGAAACACAGTATATAGACGGATTAACTTGTTGCTTTATCAAACTGGAGACTCGGTGGGACAGCGAGGCATTTCTGGAAAGAGGTCAAGGCCTTTTGTTACTGGCATGGAGCTGGGAGGAAGTCTGTGAAATCGTACAATTAGAGGAAAGAGGAGTTTGGGCTCCCTTTTAAAATAACAGGGAGAAAGCCCCTTTAACCCCAGCGGGGCTAGGTTTAAAACTCCAACTAGGTAAGAGATCTCGAGTCTGTGCACAAAGCTGCCAGTGTAACTCTGAACCTGAAGGAGAAGGAAAGAGGCTCACCTCTCCACCAGGAGGGAGGCGGCAGCTCTGCAGCTGGCTGCTGGCAGTTCTCTTTGATGGGTCAGGGGAGAGCCAGGTGGACAGTTCTGGAAGCTTAGGTACAGTCAGAATTCTGCAGCAGCCCCCATGGAAGGAAAGTTCTCAGGATCTGAGCTCAGAAGAGCACAGACCCAGGCAGGTTGGCTGGCTGCAGGCAGTAGAGAAAAGAAGGACAAGGGTTTTTAACATCAAGTCTCCAGAGGCTAGGTGCAGGCTGTGACTGCGACCTTGCAGAAGCATATGACTCCTTGAAAGAAGCATATGGTCCTCGACTGATGACAGCTGAGGTTTAGTGCAGTTATCAATAATCACAAAGTTTAAATGGAATGAAAGTACCAGCTGTACCCGGGGATCTGGATTTCTTTATATGGTATCTAGACTTAAAATGCTTATAATTAATAATCAGCTAAGTTAAACAATTCTTACGCTGTTATCTTAAATAAAGTTTATTTTCACTAAAAAGTTTCCGAGGTGCTGGGTGCTGTGGCCCCGGCTAGCCAATCTTCTTTATCTCCTTTATGAGGGCTTACAGCTCGACCCATCAATCTCACAGTATTTGCTTCAGGTCACCTGGGACTGTGGTCCTGACACTTTGGCAGGAGGTGGGGGCGACTATGATTTGTGAACCATGTTGGCAAATGCTACCTTTACATGAGCCACCTACTTTTACACGAGCCACATGTCCACATGTGGACACTATAAGGTTGGTCTTAAGAAAACAGGTCCCCAAAAGTGTTGCATCCCAGTCACCTGGGTATTCCTTGCCACTTCTAGTCTGGTAAGGACAGGTGTCTCACTTGGGAAACTCACGCCTTGAAGAAGACTGAAGGAGCTGGTCTCCCTGTGTGGCATGCACCTAGCCTCTGTATTCCCCAACATCTGAATGGTAGGTCCTAGCTCTTTAACTTCCCAGGCATCTTTTCTTCCACTATTCTGACTGTGGATCCAGAGAAGTGAAGTAACTATTCTAGGGTCACACAGCTAGTAACACTGGGGCTGGGCCTAGAGCCCATTCAGCCAAAAGAACAGAAGCTGCTGTGTGCAGACATCAGCTCAGTGTTTTGCTTGAAAAGGCCTTTCAGTGTGACTGAGCCAGGACTCTGTGGCTCTGGTTCAAAGTCGTCCCACAAGTTGCCGGGGCTCCGTGCTGAGCAAGTCAAGAGGAGGTGAGAAAGTCAAACAGACTGTCAATGCCTCCTCTCCTGAGCCCCAGAGTGGGGGCCGGAGGCTCTAGGAGATGTAGTTTGTACAGATTTGGGGTTTCACACAGACTAGAAGATGTGGCTCTGAGGATTCCTGGTCTTCCATTGGGTGATCCATTAGCAACCGCCCCACCCTGACAAGGAAATGCATCCTGGGGCATGTTGCCATCCACAAGCCCTTGCCCAAGGTCCAGCAGGGCCTCTCCAGGAACACACCCGTGTGAAACAAACCTGCTCCTCTCTCCTCCCCTTCACTGTCGGTGTCCCTGAAGATGGCTCATGCTCATGGAGGTCCCATTCCTCCCATGTGGACACCTCCCAGCCACCCTGATAAGTCTTCTGGAAGGGCCTGGGCCTCCTCAAGAGGTCACTGGGCACCAGGGTCTAAACGGACAGGAGAGCTTGTTTTCCTGGCTGGCTCATTCTCACAGCCTCACGCCTCTGTCCTGCTGCACCAGGTTGAAAGAGGTGGCAGGCTCCTGAGCTCTGGATTTGGTGACCATCTGGCCCACAAGGTTCAGGTGAATTAGAGGCAGAATCCCTTCCTCAGCTGAGTCAAGTGACATGCTCTGTGCTTCCACCTGTGACTCGGTGCTCAACCAGGTGGTAGGGGGAGCTTGTCTCCTTTTTCTGGATGAGAACACAGAGGCACAGAAAAGAACCTGTTGTGGTCACAGATCTGGTGAGGGGTGTGGTCATCCTGGAGCTGTTCACTGCATATTCACACTTCCTTCCCAAACCCTCCTAATCTCCAGAGGTGATGTAGGACTAAATACTAGTTCTGGCCAGTGAGTTGAGAGCAGAGGTGATGGGTTCACTTCTGAACTGAACACTTCATTGCCAGAGTCCTCTTTTCCTCTGCCGGAGGGGCCTCAGTGGCTGTCCCATTGGCCTGAGTTCTGGAGCAAGGAGAGGTGGTGAGATCTAAGCAGGTGTCTGGACTCAGATTTTCCCTGCACACCTAGAGTCTTTGGTCTCAAGAACCCAGGAAATAACATCATGCTAGGCTGTACCATGTCACTCTTCCTGGTGTCTGTCTCTGTCCAGAGGGGAATTCATGTCACATCATCTTGAGAAAGTTCAGAGGAGACCCTCCAACAGTCCCCTCCTCAGTGATATCATGTGCTTTGGCAACTGCTGGGTCATTGACCCTAATTCTTTTCCCTTCTACCACAGAGGCACAGTAAGGCCTGCTTCCCATCCTACTTTCTACACAGGGCGGAGAGAAGGCACGATACTTGGCCTTCTGTTCCCTTCTAATTTACCCATCCTGAGGGCCTGACATCCTTCGGGGGCTGGCCCCATCATCCCGTCTTTCTGAGCAATGCACACAAGTCCAGGCTCTGGGATACCCACATACACACTGCCAGAGCCAGTGTGGGAAGCAGACAGAGGCAGTGTTGTCCTTACTTCACGAGCGCTCCGTTTTTGAACCCTACACAGGACTTTACCACCTGATTGTGCCCTATTCTTACCCTTCAAGCAAGAGATTGGATTCTGGCTGCTTAGGAAGATGGTTCAACATTGAAAAGTGAGTTCATTATCCCCAAGCAATTGAAAAAGAACGTATTTTCAGGGAAGAAGGCAGTTACCAGAATCCAGAAATCTCT